TTCGGATGACCATCGCTGCCAGAAGTGATCCCTCATCCGCTGCAGATGACCCAACGTGACAAGGTGGACACCGTCTGCTCTGTCAATGACGGTTCTGACAAGGCGAGAGCGGTGTCCCGATGAGGAAGTGACCGGGGGTCAGCGCCGAGACGGTCTCTGGATCATCTGAGAGTGCTTGCAACGGACGTGAGTTAAGACAGGCTTCAATTTGTGCAAGGAGTGTGCTCAACTCCTCGAACGTGAGGGTGGTCGCGCCGATCACCCGACGGAGGTGGAACTTGGTCGACTTTACGGCGGCCTCCCATAACCACCAAAATGCGGGGCCGCTGGCGGGTTGAAGTGCCAGCGGATTCCTTGAGCGGTGGCGGCAAGGATGACACTTTGACCTTCGGCTGTCGCTGCGTTGAAGAGACCTCGCAGCGTCCGATCTGCTCCGATGAAAGTCGTGGCCACAGTCGCTGTAGATCTCAGCACACAGGCCCCTGCGGGAGACGAAGCGGCGCAGAGCGGCGATGAAGGCCTCCGAGGTGTAGTCTGAGACGACTTCTAAGTGAACGGCCTTTGACCAAAGCAGACGAAGACTGCGATGTACCCCTTGTGCGCACGGTGTCCACGCCCCTTGCTGGTCCGAGGAGGATTGGTCCCGCGTAGTCCAACCGGCTGAGGAACGGTCGAGTTGGCGTTACTCGCTCCCGAGGAAGGTTACCCATCGGAGGCTGTGGTGTGGCGGCGCGCCATCGAGTGCAGGTTATGCATCGGTGTAGCTGCTGTTTTGACGGTAGTCCTTCCTCGAGGCACCCAGAAGCGCAGGCGGAGCAGCCGAGAGTCAGTTGCACACCTCCGTGCAGCGTCCGTCGGTGGCAATCGATCACCAGCCGAGTCAACCATGATGCCGCCGGGATGATCATTGGATGTTTCTCGTCGAGTGGTAGCTGAGCATGTTTGAGACGTCCTCCGACGCGCAGCACGCCTTGATCATCGAGGACCGGACTCAACATCGCTAGGTGGCTTCGTGGTGGGCTAGTGCGTCCAGCAGAAGCCGCAGCTACGTCCGTAGGAAAGTGGAGCGCCTGCACCACTCGCAGCCATCGAAATAAGGCGACGTCCAGCTCGTCCGGATGCAATGACGGCCAGGTATGGCGTCACGTCTCGCCTGATTGAGCCATCGCCGACACCATGCCGTAACCCGCAGCAGCCTGTGCAGCGTTGGAAACCGGAGGAGGAGGTCAGGTTCTGCCGAGACCGGTGCCTTGATTACCAGACTGGTGGCTCGCTGCTCCGGGAGGTCATCCTCTGGGACGTCGATGTTTGAACCCGGCCATGCAGTCTCGTCTCCTGAGAGCCAGGTAGGTCCTGTCCACCACAACTCATGATTGATTAATTCAGCAGGAGTAACACCGCGCGATGCGCAATCTGCAGGATTCTCTCGTCCAGCGACGTGTCTCCATTGAGCGTCTGGAAGCAGGGTCTGGATCTGAGATACTCGGTTGGCGACGAAGGTTTTCCAACGGGTGCTGTGTCCGCGGATCCAATGAAGTGTGACCCTTGAATCTGACCACAGATGCACCGGCGTCGTTGTCAACCGAGAGTAGCGCGCACGTGGAGCATGAGCGTGGTAAGTAGAGCTGCTGCACAGAGTTCCAAGCGAGGTAACGACACCTGCTTGACAGGCGCGACCTTCGATTTTGCCATCAATAGGTTGATTGACGTTTTTTCTGTTGCAGCGTTGCGGATGTACACCACGGCGGCGTATCCTCGCTCTGAAGCGTCGGCAAACCCATGGAGCTGCAGTTGCGAATGGTCGTCTCCGGTGTTGAGCCAGCGAGTTACACGGATGTTATCCAATAGAGGAAGCTGATCCAACAACTGCCTCCAGCGGTGTGCGTCCTGATCAGGCAGCGGAGAGTCCCAATCCAGCCGTTGAAGCCACGTCGTCTGGATCAGAATTTTGGCTCTGATGACGACAGGCGCGAGCCAACCCATCGGATCAAAGAGCCGAGCCGTTTCGGCTAGAACTCGTCGCTTTGTGAGATCAGTGACTGGACGTGGACGAATTGAGAAGGAGAACCAATCGCCTTGAGGATGCCATCGGAGGCCCAGGGTAGCGTGACTCTCTTCTTCCCATGAGTGCGGCCCACGTTGCAGCTGATGTTCTGGTGGAATTCCTGTAAGCACCTGAGGATCGTTGGCGGCCCACTTTCTCAAAGGAAATCCGCCCGCCGTGCAAAGACTCCGTAGTTCCTGCTGAAGGTCGATAGCATCTTCCAAGCTATCGGCGCCGGTGACCACGTCGTCGACGTAGCAGTCGTGTCGCAGTGCCTTGACTCCGCGTGGATATCGTGCCTCTTCGTCTGCTGCGAGTTGATGAAGAGTCCTGATGGCGAGGAAGGGTGCACACGCTAGCCCATAGGTCACGGTCCTCAGCTCGTACTCGTGGACGTCGTCAGAGCTGTTGTGGCGCCACAGGATAGTTTGCAGGCGACAGTCCTCCGGATGCACGAGGATTTGTCGGTACATTTTCTCGATGTCCGTGACGAGCACGTACCGATGCCAACGCCAACGAAGTAGGACGTCAGCGAGTGCTGGCAAGAGATTGGCTCCAGTGAGGAGGTGTGCGTTCAGCGACTCTCCGGACCGTGTGCGCTGGGAGCCGTTGAACACGACCCTGAGCTTCGTGGTCGTGCTTGACTCCTTGAGGACCCCGTGATGCGGTAAGTAACACCTGGGGCTGCCAGTTGTTGTAGTTGTGCTAACCTTCTCCATATGTTGTAGGTTCTCGTATTCCTCCATGAAGTCTAGATAGAGGTCACCGAAACGACGATCTCGTGCTCCTTTCCGCTCCATGGCATCCAGTAGGCGTTCAGCAGGTCGACGAGTCTCGCTGAGCGATGTCGGCGGCGGTGAAGTAAATGGCAGCCTCACCATGTATCTTCCACTGGACGTGCGTGTGACCGTGCGCACGTAGATGTCCTCGCATCTGGCTTCATCGGCGGTAAGCGGTGTCCCAGCCACTGGCTCGCGTTCCTGCTCCCAGAAGCGTCGAACCATGTCAGCGAGGTCGTGGTCTGCGGTGCACTGGAACGTGCTGCGATGTCCTTCGGTTGCTGCTGCATCGTAGCCCCCGGACAGGATCCATCCTAAGCTCGTCTGTTGGGCGATCGGCATCCGTGATCCGCCCTTGCGAAGACCTTCCTCGAGGATCAATGCGTAAACTTCTGCTCCAAGAAGTAACTCCGCAGGATCGTCGTCCAGGAAGCGCGGGTCGGCCAGTCGAAGTCCTTGGATGTGAGGCCAGCTACGATCTTCGCGTTGAGGGGTGCCTTGCTGCAATGAGATGCGAGGCAGCACAAAAGCAACCACGCGGAGCTCGACATTGGTCACGTCAGATGTGATGTCTAGCGTGACCTTGCCACGCGCTGATCCAGAGCGAGTCCCTCCAATGCCAAAGATGGACAGATCTGTTGAAGCTCGAGGCAGCCGAAGACGCTGAGCCAGTGCCTCAGAGATGATGGACACCTCGGAGCACTGGTCTATCAAGACTCGAACCTCGTGTGGTGATCCGTAGCGATCAGCGATCTTGACGCGAGCGGTTGCGAGAAGGACGGCCTTGTGTGTTTCAGTTTGCCGTGCAGTGGCCAGTGTGGTGGCAAGTGAAGTGGCCTCAGCAGATGGTGTTGATGTGGCTGCCCCGTGCAGCATGGTGTGGTGTCGCGCGTTGCACGTGAGGCAGTTCCTTTTTGACTGACACCGTGCTAGGAAATGATTGCCTAGGCAGTTGAAGCACAGTCGGTTGGCCTCCACGAACGTTTTCCGCTCAACCGCGGTCTTGGCCTTGAAGCCCTTGCACGTCATCAGTGTATGGTTTTCACGGCACAGTACACACTGAGGTGAATCTGTGCCTTGGTGCTTCGTGACGTGCGCTTTGACGAATCGTGATGTCTCTCCAGATCCTTTTGTGACACTCCTCGGTCGTGCGGCGTTGAGTGTCAAGATCCGTCGACTAATGAAGTCGAGAAGTGCCTCGTTCCGTGGTGGTTCGGTGGGGTCTGAAGTGGTTGACTCCCATTCGAGACGAGTGCGTGCGTCGAACAATTCGACGACCATGTGGTTGAACAGATCCATCCCGTGCGAGTTGATAGGACGTCCGATGCTCTCCTGTGCGTTGACTGCGGCGGTGACAGCGTTGTGAATGCGGCTCAGCTCCTCGGCGGTATCTCCCTTCATCTTTGGCACGGCAGTAAACGTGGCAAAGTTGGAGCGGATCAACTCTTTTTTGTTATTGTAGTGCTTGTCCAAGATTGCCCAAGCGCGATCGTAATTGTCACTCGTGACAGGTAGTGACTTTATCAACTTTTCAGCCGGACCTGTCAGACACGAGCGGAGGTGATGAAGGCGCTCAATGTTCGAGATTGAATTGCTGCTCACGACGGACAGGAAGAGATCGCGAAAGGATGGCCAGTCAGCGTAGGCACCAGAGAACGGCGGCAACTTGATGCGCGGCAGCGAAGACTTTGATGCGACGTCGACGGATGGAGACACGTTCGGCTTCCGAAAATGTTCGGTATAACTATCTAAAGTACTGCGTTGTGCAACGTACAGATTTTCCGTATCGCCATGTAACTCCGACTTGTAGTAATCGCTCTCGCAAAATTTCTCTTTCAGAGCCGCTCGAATGAGATCATGCTGTGTCTCGAATTTCGTCCACAGCTGATCTAAGATTCTGGTGCGTGTGGATACGGCACTGGCGGTGATGTTGGTGGTGCCCAGCTTCTTCAAATATTCCACGGAACGTGAAATGCGGACCTGGATCTCACGTTGACAGTCGATCAACGTGTTCACATCCATGGTGAACTAAGAGCACCCACGAACTACACGAAGTCACGTTCACAAACTTGCGGGTGCCGGCGAGAAGAATCCGGCTCGAAGGACCAGAAATATGTTCGCGAACGCGCTGCGTGAGGAATCGCGCGACACGACAAAGGATGAGTCACTTGTAGTATAAAGAAACCTTTAATATACGAATCTTTACTAAAATATAATGTACAATATTTAACAATTACACGCACAAAATTAACATAAAGTTTAATTAGTTTCAGCGGAGAAATCAAGTCAAAAGAAAGAGCGGCGGTTGTCGATATAAATGTTCTGCGGTTTTTTTTGAGGCGGTTTTGACTTACGCGTACACGGCGGAAAGCGATAAGGCACCTACGCCGGGGTGAGCTCCTCTTTTATAAATTTTGGAGCGGAGCTCACCTTCGCGTGAAGCGCCAATAATTTGCGTGAATTTTAAAGTAGCGCATGCTCAATAGGATGTAATTATTCGGCGGAACGGTTGCGACACCGTTACTTGTTTGTATATTTGAGCGTTTTTTATGTGACAGCTGTAAATTTACGACTTCTTTTTATTCTATTATACAAAACAAACGTGACTTTATTATTACTGATCGATGATTCCAGAATTTACCAAATAACAAAATTCGAGATCGAATTTTGTATAAATTGAAAATCCTAATAACGGTTTACTGCCGAAGTAATTAACAGACGATAAGATTTATTTTGCATCTCAAACAAATATATTTAAACGTATATTCAAAAAAGGTAATATAAGGCACAAAGAATTAAATTTAGAAAATTAAAAAAATTTAAAGTTAAATAAAAATTTTTAAATTAAATTAAAAATAAAAGTAAAAAAATGTAATGTACAAAAAATACTTAGCGCTGTTTTTGTATTATAGCTCTTTGACTACGAAACGTCCTTAAAAATGATGATTAGTAACGAAATGTACAGTAACGATATATACAGAATATATCACACACAGAAGTCGCATCCTATCTTTGGAGAGTGAAATGATGAAGTCAAAATAAGTCGAAATTAAAGAATTATAAAATTATATTTAAATTTATTTTATAAAAAAATTCATAATGAAAATAATGCGCTCTTGAAACTCTGATTGCGATCAGGGAAACATTGCAAATGCTTTAAAACATGTATCAGGATAAAGAAATTTTTATTCATTTATATTTTGATTGATCAATTAAACACTTTGAAATGCTCCATATACATTAATTAATATATGCTAAAGACATATACATACATATGTATATATATACGTCTTTAGCATATATTAATCCTAAAAAAATCATAAAAATGAAAAGGTCAGGCCATGTTCAAAAGAAGGTACTCAAAAATTTAAACCTTTAAAAATTTAACGATCTAATAATAAATTATCACAAAAAGTAACTGATATGTTATTCAAGGTGCCAGTTCAAAGTGAACATACGTAAAGTGTATATTATCTAAATTTAGTAATAATATATTACCATGAAAAGTAACTGTGATATTTTATTCAAGGTGCAAGTTCACATTGAACATACATACATATAAGTAAAACTGATTACAATTTGATTCTAGAAAATAAGTGCGATATGTTATTCTTAGTGCACAAAATATAATAGTCGTTTATAGAGATTTGATTTGAAATTCATACTAACCCGTACAATGAAAAATAATTGCTCGTAATTCCAGAGTACCAATTTGTTAATGACTCAGAAAAATAGCATGTACTCGTATAGAGCAGCTTTCTAGTAATTCAAGTATCACAAATATATGTATTTTCGATTCTTATCACATAACTTTGTATAAGTAACAATTTATGCAATACAGTTCAAAATAATTGAAATATATGGTATATATGTACATATATAAAATATATAATTATATTATAGTATACATATATATTTTATTTAATCATATATGTAAATGTTTGTATAATTGTAATAACTTTTAACGATACATTGCACATTTATTTCAATTGCAACAGAATGAATTTATATTCTTGTATGAATATTGAAAATAAAGAATGGGCCCCTCCATCGCCCATTCTCGTGAGAACGCAACCATATATTTTTCTTCGTCTCTCCCATTTTAACACGACATACATATTTCTGTCTGATAATTTTTTTCTGGATGATACTTTTTGAAATGTCATGAAGCCTAGGTCAAATTAGAAACTTATTGCACTCGTTTTAACGCAGCGCTTACAGCAGCTTTTATAAAGCGCCAGAGCAGCCGATGTTTTATTTCGGCGCTTACGGCAGCCTTTATACAGCGCCAGAGCAGCCGATGTTTCATTTCGGCGCTTACGGCAGCCTTTATACAGCGCCATTATTTAATCTGTTCTAAGAACAATATGTATGCCCCTTGTGCTCCTTTGGGCCATTTTTTCTTGAACACTTCCATATCATTAGAGTAATACCATTCCGATTTTGTGTCAGCTCTCAACATACACGTGTAGTGACCACGATTCATTTCTTCACCTTCGTGAAATATAGCGCTTATTACCTTGTACTTTTTTTCATTAATCGTGATATTACTCGTCGGCACGGCGTTAATCCGATTGTTGATAATTTTTTTAGAAGCACCGTTTACAAAAGTATATAAATTGAGCTGTATTACTACGACGGATAAAGTTGATTCGATTACGGTTTTCCTTTTCAACACGGTACCCTTACATTCGTTACAATTGCCGTTTATCGTTTCCCATTTAGAAAATTCTACATTAATCAAACTTTTTAGAGTGACACCTTTTTTCCTTTTTAATGTCGAATGTATAGGTAATATTAGCAAACTACTGCTTTCCAGCTTAGTTACATTGTAATTACATTTGACATTCGAGCAACATGTTACGTGCTTTAATTCGAGTTTTAATACATCATTGATGTCGGAATACGTCGACATTAGAGCCGTAAAAAATTCCGAAACATCTTGTTGTGTTCGTTCTTCGAAGCGTTTTCCGACAGATCTTCTAACCGCTTGAATGTTGCAATATTTACGTTCACCATACGCGCAGATAGCATCAGTCAATGCATTCGATGCTTTATTTTTCAGTATTTGTTGCCTAATACGTACGCAATGAAACGCACATTGTAATATTACATTAGCGTAACACGAAACAGCATCGTTATTGCAAAGGCCATATATTTTCCACGTAACTATACTTTCTGGTTCCTCACAATCATAATTCTGCATATCATCAATGATATTAGGGATAGCCCATCGACGATCGTACATTTTCACAACCTTTTTCTCGGACGGATTGATTTGTGGCAGTTCAGATTTGAATATAGATCTCAGTCGATTATATTCTACAATGGCTCTCGAGTTT